CCCCCCCACAGCGAAGGTTTATGCTAAGAAAATAAATATATATTAAAATTAAAAATTTTTTAAAAGCAAAACAGCATAAATATATCCATGGCAACTAGCCATGAAACCGGGAGGGTAAGGGATCCTCCTGTCCAGGAGCAGTCTACCTGGCAAGGCAGCCTCTCTCTCAAGCCTTAAAACAGGCAGAATTATTTTAGGGTGAGATCTGAGTTTCTGGGGAAAGACCTGGAAAATTGCAGATCGGTCTCCTGAAACACATCTGAAGGGGTCTCATGCCATTTCCAGACCGCAAGATAAATTATTATTATTATTAGTTATATATATACATATACGTAGTAAGACCACAGTACCTCTAGTATCAGGAGGACCCATGGTTTCAGTTATCCACTGCCTGAAAATACTAAATAACACCCCCTGCCCAGAAATACGTATATGTTTCCAAGGTGTGTTGCCGGAAGTGGCCACTGGAGGGAACCAGAGACTTATGCATAGTGTTTGCTATTATCCACGGTTTCCGGCATCTGCAGGGGGCTTGGAACCAATCCCCCACGGATGTCGTGGTCGTACTGTTTTCCAGCTTTGGTCCTCATCGCTCAGACCTACAAATGTGCCATTACACACCGGGAGGTTTGGATCATGCTCAAAGAAACACAAGATTTTATTTTGAATCAACAGGGGCCCCTTGGGTGAGTGCCTCAGTGCTGCTGCCCGTAAAATGGGCACAATGGTCCCGAATGTCTTGGAAAGGGCCCCGAGTGCCTCTCGCAATGGATGAGCTCTCCTTGAGGTGGTGGTGGAGGAGGAAGAGGAGGCCATCTGAAAGAACATAAAACTTCTCTCTCTCTGTCCGCCTTGGCGTGAGTCACAAGCCGGCACGCCCAAGTGGAAAGTATTTCTCACCCAGTCGAGCCTGCAGAATGTTGTTTTCGTCGCTCACCTGTCAGCCGATCCGGGGATCAAAAAAACCCAGAGAGGTTTCCTGGTTTGAGAGACAGGCGCTCTGCAGATGCTCAGAGGATGCTTGACTCCCAAACCACGGGTGGAGCGGCCGAACACCTCCGCTGTTTGTTTTCGAGCTGGGTTTCCTAGCCGCCGGTGCCGTTCTGCTAAGGGAGAGTTGGAAAGAAGCCTAGTTGGTTCTTTTCTTTAAGAAAGAATGGGGGGATTTTTTAAAAAATGAAGTTACAGAAGTTTTGAGAGTGACGGATTCATTTCGGTGAGAGGCTCCCCACAGGGAACCAGCCCCTCCTTCAGACAGAGGAGTGTTCACAGGAGATGTACCATGTCCTTTTCCCTGTCTGGCGAAGTGGGATCAGAATCCATGGAAGTTCCCATTGAAACAGAAACGCAGGATGAAAGGGATCTCAAGGGTCATCTAGTCCAGCCCACAGCTAAGGGGTTATTGAGACCTGCCCCCCCCCAATCTTTGCTTCACTCCACTCCACTCTTGAAAGGCTTGTGTGGCAGAGTGTTTCCTTGGCTGTGAGGGTTTTTTCGGGAGATTTCAGAGTAGCAGGAAAACTTTGCAGAACTTTTCCCCATGAGCCACAAAACTGGGAAATGTCCCAGCTGGAAAAATTCTTGGTCTCTTGCCTGAACCCGTCTCTCCGCAGGGGGAGGTTGTACCACGAGGCCTGAGTTTGCCGACTCCTTCTGCGCCTGGCGGAAGTTCCTGCTCGTCTCAACCTTTTGGCAGCTTTTTTAAAAATCCAGAAAGCGTCCCGATCCCGCTTCTTCCAGGGAGGCCCCCTCTTGCCACGTGGCATTGCCGATTCTGCCCTGCGCCAGCCGACGCAGACGGTTCAGGGTGGATTGTTCAGAATCAGCTGGGCCCTGTGGTTTGGTTTCCAGCCAGGGCTCTGGAGCTCTGCGTTCGAGTCCTCCTTGAGCTGCGATGCCCACTCGCCAGTGGTGGGCCTGTCCTGTTCTCTCAAGCCTTACAAGATTCATGACTTCCCACCTGCCTCAACAGTAACTTTTCTCATCTCTGATCAAACCTAATCATGTGGGGCTGGACCAATGATCTGGCCCGAAGCAGACTCAATAATCTCTACGTTCTTTACAGTTTGTGCCATCAAGGCCCAGAGAGAGATGAAATATTGTCATTCTGCCATGGCAAGGTGTGGAATTTGCGAAGGACACAAAATCAGGTGGAATAGCTAACACCCTGGAAGACCGAAATGGAAATCAAAAGGATCTGGATAGGCTGAAGCCTGGGGGGTGAAAACGACAGGATGAGACTCAACAGGGATAAGCGCAAAGTCCTGCACTTCGGGGGGGGGAGCACAGTTCCAAGATGGGGGAAATACCTGGCTCAGCAAAACTACAAGCGAGAAGGATCTAGGAATTGTTGTAGATGACAAGCTGAAGAGGAGCCAACAGTGTGATGTGGCTGCAAAAAAGGCCAATGCGCGTTTAGGCTGCATTAACAAGTCTAGTCTCAGAGTCCTGCAAAGTACTAGATCCATCTCTATTCAGCACTGGTTTGGCTTACTCTAGAGTCCTGTGTTCCAGTTCTGGACACCCCACTTCAAGAAGGATGATGGCAAACTGGAGCAAGTTCAGAGGAGGGCAAGAAGGAAGATCAGGAGGCTGGAAACCAAGCCCTATAAGGAGGGAAGACAGAAAGAACTGGGCCTGTTTAGCCTTGAGAAAAGAAGACAGGGAGGAGAGAGGGAGAGCCCTTTTCAAAGACTACTGAGGAGGGGCAGGATCCATCCTCCATCTTCGCAGTGTGCAGGAGACTTTGTCATGGGCGTAGGTGACAGGACGCCAGATTTTGGAATTTGATTTTGTTTGGAAAAGCTTCCTAACTGTTCAAGCAGTACGACGACGGGACCCACGACCTCGGGAGGTGGCGAGCGCTCCCACGCTGGAGGCCTTCAGGAGGAAATGGGACCACACTCTGACGGATCGGCTTGGACTGGGATTCCTGCCTTGAGCGGGGGTGGGGGTGGTGGACTGGATGGCCTCCGGGACCCCTTCCAACTTCACAATTCCGTGATTCCCTGACCCATTTCAGGACCATCTGTCTTAGCCTTTCTGCCAAACCCCCAGCTGTATGTGAGCTGTGGCCGTCGCTTCTCTTACATCTGGGAAGGGCGCAGGGTTTTGCAGTGGTTTTTCCTGGCGAAAGTGAGACAAATCTAGGCCAGCCTGTCATTGATCCAAAATGCGGTTAGCTCCCCCGGGTTGAAACCTTCAGGGCCACATGCAGCCTTTTGGGTTGTGGGGATGCAAGCACGAGGAGAAGAGTGGGGTTGGCTGCATGATCCAGAGGAACAGCAGGCCACAAGAAAAGCGGCTGGACTTGGGAGGCAGGTGGGAGGACCAAGTTGCTAGCCCTCATCGTTTCTGAAAACACACCACAGTTCATTCACCAGTTGCTGGAGGACATATGAGACACGGAAGTAGTTACTGCTTTTTGAAATACCAACCCGTGGCTTTTCGAGGTAGTGAGAATGTGAACCTTGTTTGAAAATATGACCCAGATGTGTGGGGAAAATTTTTTACTTTGGGGGAGGCTGTTCCTGTCCAAAGGACCCTAGCCAGCTCACATAGGGACTGGGGGGGGCTCTGCTCTGTCAGGTTTCCTCCATTTCAAAACTGTCTGAGCTGGCATTGACTTCTTGTGGCAATGAGTTCCGCAGGTGAAGCCTGACAACTTGTATGTGTCAGAAACAAATGCAGTGGAGCTTCAGGGCATGCTTAAGGGGAAGACCTAAGCATTAAACTTAATTTTTAAACAATTATTTAATATTGCACTTTGATTGATACCTGAGCTGCTGAAGGGCGGCCGTTGACTGGCTGTCTATAAAACCCAAAGCTGCTGGTTCGAATGTGACGTTTGCCGGCCACGTGGAAGGCTCGTTCTCTCTCTCTCTCAATCTCTCTCCCTCTCTCTCTCGTTCATGGTCTTCCCCGTTCTGTGTGGAAAGCTGGAAACATTTTTAATAGAACCTGACAGAAGGATTGCAAAGAAATTCGATCTGCAAAGCGTTTCCAACCAGAACATAATATCCAGAAGATATACGGATGTTTCTTTGGACAGCAAGTCCCAAAATCCCCCTCGGTCTTCCTGGGTGGGGGATGATGGGCTTTGTTTTGCCAAACCCACCCAACCCCAAGAACCAGCCGGACTCAAGAAGTCCGCGGTATGTGATGCTGCTGGATTAAACCTGGTTTGTTTCAAGGACTAGTCTGCCCTCTACTGGGAGTACTTCAAATTGCAAACCTTACTGAATTTCCCAAGCCCCCCCCATGCAAGGTTGCCAACTTTTTCAACCGGCCATGGTTGCTGTGCCTTGAGCAGCTCACTATGATTTTTGTTTGTTTTTGTTTATGAAGGCACAGATGAGTGATTTTTTTTTACTTGTCTCTGTCCTTCAAATGTCCTGATTTCTGATTTCTATCGGATTCGCCTCGTCTAAGAGCGAATGTGGCCGGACATCAGTTGGCAATCTTTACCCTTCCGAAATCTTCTTAAGTGTCTCCTTTTTAGAGAGCCCATCGTTAGCCCCGTCGAGCTTGAACGAGGAACAAATCACGCCGGCTCCCATTTTTCTGTGGTTTGTGCATCCTGCGGTGTAGAAAACATTTTGATCTGAAAGGTGCTCTCCCACCAAAAGGGAGGAGTCACAAAGATGTAAATAATTCTGCCAAGCTAATGGGGAAACACAGTTTTCCCTCTCTCGCAGTCCTAAAACTCACCCCATGAAGCTTTTATAGTGCGTGATCTGGGACAAATGGAAGACATGCAGACAGCGGAACTCCCTGACTCAAGACATTGTGGCAGCTACCAAATGGGCAGGTGTAAAGAAGGATAGGATAAATTCATGGAGGTGAGAGAGAGAGAGAGAGAGAGAGAGAGCTTTCTTTTCCTGCCACCTTGGTCTTTTGGGGTACGGATCTTCTCATGTACTTTTAAAATGTGTGTTGGGGGAATCTTAAAAGCAAAAAAAACATGGGGCTTACTCTTATTCCCTCTTCTCCTTTTACAGCACAAATTGAAGTTATCCCCTGCAAGATATGTGGAGACAAATCTTCCGGGATCCACTATGGCGTGATTACCTGCGAAGGTTGCAAAGTGAGTGGTCTTTTGACAACTTAACAGATCCTGATAGCTCCGGCTCTGCCAAAATATTTGGCAGGCCAAGGAAGGACAGAAGAGAGGGTGGGGAATTGGGGAAAACAACCCTTTGGTTAAAGGTTCATTCAAATACAGCAATAGGTAGTACATTTGTCGGGCTAACAAAAAAACATGAAAACAGGCAGATTTCAGAGTCTAACAGGATTCCTCATCAGGGTAGGTATTTCAGATCTGAGGGGGAAAGGAGATTCCTTCAGAAAACGAATTCATCTCAGCTAGATGCTGAAGTTTTAGGGGCTACACTTCCCCGATGTCATTTTCTTCCTGTTTTCATCTCTCCCACAAAGGGTTTCTTCCGCCGGAGCCAACAGAATAACGCCACCTACTCCTGTTCGCGACAGCGCAACTGTCTTATCGACCGGACGAACAGAAACCGGTGCCAGCACTGCCGCCTGCAGAAATGTTTGGCACTGGGCATGTCCCGTGACGGTGAGTTTCAGCTTGGGCTTTCCCGGCTGGCAGCCCCAGTGGCGGGTGTAGCAGCTCAGCATTTAAAGAGGGTGTAAGGGAAAGAGATCATCTGGAAGCACTCGACTGTGCCCTGGTTGTGTGGGTTCAAGAACGGCGTGCGTGGATAAGATAAGGTGCCTGGCCTGGAGGCGAGCTGGGAAACAGGCGAGACAAGCAGGTAGTGGAGATATGAAACAAGCAATCTATCAGGCTCGGTGGTCCAGAGGCAAGAAGAAAGTGGGCTTGTCAAGGTTTGGAAATCCAGAAGAAGCCAGGTCACTGAGATGGGAAAGAGGCTGGCCTATCAGGGTTGGAGACAGGCAGGCAGGCGAGAGATGAGGCAGGTAGCCTATCAGGGTTGGCGGTCCGGAATCAGGCAGGGAGGTGGGCTGCGAAGTAGGCTGGCCTGTGAGATTGGGAAGACTGGAGACAGGCAGGCAGCTGAGATGCGAAGCGGGTAGCCTATCAGGGTTGGAGGTCCAGCAGCCGGCTGGCCACTGAGATGGGAAACAGGCCGGCCTATCGGGGCCAGAGGTCTGAAGACAGTCATTCAGATCTAAAGCAGGAAACCTCTTGGGTCCTGGAACAGGCAGGTCGTCGAGTCGGGAAGCAGGTTAGCCCATCAGGGTTGGCAGTTCAGAAGAAGCCGGGACATCTGGTGGGAAGCAAGTTGGTCTACCGGGGTCAGAGATGTCTGGAAGCAGGATAGCTGAACCAGGACGCAGGGCAATTAGCATTTATGGACAGCCGCATCCTGACCTGCCGTTTTCTCTCTGCACTTTCTACCCGGGTGGTCTCGCAGCGGTCAAGTTTGGCCGCATGTCGAAGAAGCAACGGGACAGCCTCTACGCCGAGGTCCAGAAGCACCAGCAGAGCCAGGAGCAAGGCGGTGGGGGCACCAAGGAAGAGGTGGACACCCTATCGAGGGTCTACACCACTAGTGTCAGCAGTGGGTTCTCCGACCTGGATGACATCTCCGTGCTCTCGGACGGGTTCCTCTTCGACTTCCCCTTGACCCCCGATGGGAACAGCACCTATTATAACTTGGACCTCCTCACCTCTGCCCAGCCGTCGCCCGACCAGTCCAGCCTGGATCTGAGCGATGCCAAGCTCATCAAACAAGAATCCATCTACGAGATCATGCTGGAGGCGCCGGCCCTCTTCCCGCACGGCCCCCTGGACAATAACCAGTTAGCCACGGACATTTCGGCGATGGAAATCGGTTAGTCTCCTGGATTGCTCAGGGGTGGAGGTCTCTGGCTGAGGAGGCAGAGGCTGGGGGTTCGAATCCCCCACCGGGCCCTCTTTGAGAGGGGCTGGACTGGAGGATCCATAGGGTCCCATCAAGGTCTGCCATTCTAAGATGATGAAGATGATGGCAGTTCAAAAACACTAGGCACAGTCCATCAAAATTATAAAAACATTGACTGGCATTATATAACAGATACAAGTTTTAACTAAAAAAATCTGTTGAATATCAGCACAGGATGTGTGCTGTTCCTAATATTGCTGTTTTTTGTAGCTCTGAGGGTGCCATTTGATCAAAATTATAAAAACATTGACTGGCATTATATAATAGATACAAGTTTTAACTAAAAAAAATCTGTTGAATATTAGCACAGGATGTGTGCTGTTCCTAATATTGCTGTTTTTTGTAGCTCCGAGGATGCCATTTATGAGATCTGCAGCTGCTTATAGCACTGTGTGAAATTTCTTGATATTGTTCCCAAAGCCCCGATGATGAAGGGGGCCCCTGAAGTGGGTTTCTTCCAGAGGCAAGATGTCTCTGTCCTTGGTTAGTTTTTCCCATTCTTCATCTTGGACTCTGGCATCCCCAGGAATGGCATCATCATCATCACCTTGGCCTCTTTGTGGCAAGATCTGATCCCAAAGAAGTGGATGTCATCCTCATAACCTCCTTTTTATCCCTGACTTGTTAACACAGAATCCCCTGTTGTGCCTGTTTGTGCTTCTGGTCCTTATGGTTTATTGATATTTACGAATTACTGTATCTTCATACCCCATGGATCTTTCAATGGGCATACATGACTTGCTTCTTCTTTCCCTACTTCACAACATTTTCTGAGGTGGGCCAGGCTGTGGCTGCCCGGTCCATTAAACACCCTGGTTTTTCGAAACTGTGTGCTTTAAACCGAGTTTAAGACCCTCCTCATCTTCCTTACAGGGTTTTGTCTTCATCCTATCTTGGCACTATCATGTCTTTACTGAATACAGTACGAGGCCCATAAAGACATTTTTAGCTGTATCTGGGGGTCCTTTAGCTTTGTGTCTGTTGACTTTTCCAGAGCGTCTTGCACAGAACGTGGTCAAATCGCACATAGAGACTTCACAGTATACCAGCGAAGAGTTGAAGAGGTTAATCTGGACTCTCTACTCTCAGGAAGAGATCAGGAACCTGCAGAGCAAGGTAGGGGTAGAGTGCCTCAGTCTACTGAAGCTCCATTTCATATTCCTCATTTGAAGCTGGTGGAGAACAGATTCTGCCTTCTCTCTTTGTCCTATTTTATAGCCTGTTTATTCAAAAAACAAACCAACGTATTTTTTAAAAACAAATGTTCTTATTTTTTTTTAACGGGTTTTCTCCAGCCCTGAATGGTTTCGTCCCATTTTTCCCTGTTCACAATTTCTTGCAAAACTATTTTGCCATTTCGGCCATTTCGTACGCATTTCTTTTTACTCCTTTCTACGCCGAATTCTCTCTCCTATTCCCCAACTTTTCCAGCAATCTTCCTGGGAGAGAAGGAGATCGGAAAATGCTCCTCACAAGGCCAAAATGAACTGTGTCAACTCCTAACTTTTTGGGTTGTTTTTGAAAGGAGGCTTTTGTGACTCCCTTTTTACCCCTTTTTTCCCGGGGTGTATTTACCATAACTGGACATTAGAGGGAGCCAGAGAGCACGCAATGTCTTGTGTTCAAAACTTCCACATTTTTCAGCATCTGCTGGGGGTGGTCTTGGAGTCCTGATATCTTTACAAGCAACTACACCAAGTTCCAAATCTCTTGGGTTTTTTCTTCCTACTTGAGTAAGACGAGAGCTTCTCCTGAACTTGACGCCTTCTCCCCGTCCTGTTCTCTTGCAGAGCTGCGAGGACATGTGGCAGGAGTGCGCCATCCAGATCTCCAACGCCATACAGTACATTGTGGAGTTCGCCAAGCGGATTGAAGGCTTCATGGAGCTGTCCCAGAATGACCAGATCATCCTCCTCAAAGCAGGTGAGGGAAAGAGGAAGACCCAATACCAGATGGACTGACTTCCTAAAGGAAGCCATGACTTTTGAGTTTACAAGAGCTGAATGGGGCAGTAGGGGATCGGAGATTTGGAGAGTGCTCGTTCATAGGGTTGCCATGAGTCAAAGGCAGCTTAGATAGCTGGGACGGGGCAAAATGAAACAAGAGATAGTGCTGGAAGATGAGACGCCCAGGGTGGGGAAAAGCAAGGGACATTTTGAAGAGCGTTCATTCAAGGGTTGAAACTTCCACATTTTTTGGCCTCCAGGGGTGGCGTGGGTGGGCTTGGTAGTAATCCCCCGAGGATATAGCGGTTGGAAGCAACTTGGTGGCACATGATAATAACAACAGCAGAGTGGAAAGGCGCCACAGCGCCAACCCATCTCTGCCCCTCACGAATCCTTTCTCTGGTTTTTCCTGGCCTCAGGTTGTCTGGAGGTTCTTCTCATCCGGATGGTCCGGGCTTTTAATCCATTGAATAACACAATACTCTTTGGCGGGAAGTACGGCGGAATGCAGATGTTCAAATCCCTCGGTAAGAAAACCGAGGGAGGTGCGATGGAGTTGTCTTTGATCGTGTGGGGTGGTGGCAACTTTGCTCATGTAGAAATCCAAATGGAAGAACTGTGTGTTGGGGGGGGGATCATGGGCCTTGGAGTTGTCCACCACCCACAAAGCACAGCCCCGGGCAGTACATTGAGTACATTAGCCATTCTGTTGGGTTGAAAATGACAGGAGATTCTCTCCAAGCCACAATTTCCAATTCTGCATTCATTGTTTAAAAAACCCATGTCGATTTACTTTCATTTAGCTTAAATTTAACGGCATTTTGACGCCATTGTGTTTTTCTGTGATTGCCATTGTTGTGAACCGCCCAGAGGGACCGTCGGTCAGAGAGGCGGCATAAAAATCAAAACAAAGAAATAAAGCAAGAACGAGTAAAAGGCAATTCAACCAGAGAATCAATAAATTCAAGTAAACACCCAACCCTGACTGGAAAGACGGCTAAAGATCAATCAGATCAACTAACCTTTTAAAATAATGGCCGCAAATTGAAATAATATTGTAAACTGATTTGTAAAGGTGTGTCTAAATCCACGTTTGTAAAACTTGCACAAGGGGACACCCATTGTCGCGTGAAGGTCCGGAGATAGACGTTCGGCGTTGGGATGTAGCTTCTGATGTGGCTTTTGGGGTAAACTTTATGCATTTTCTACAGGTTGTGATGATCTTGTCAACTCCGTCTTCGAGCTGGGGAGGAATCTTTGTCGGCTCCAACTCTCGGATGAAGAAGTGGCGCTTTTCACCGCTGCGGTTCTGCTCTCCCCAGGTACGGGCTTTTCAGCCCTCTCAGCATCCACCGCAGTGCCTTTTTTTGACGCGGGTTTGCAGTTCTCCGGAAGCAATGCTCACGCTGTGGGTCCTTCTTTCCCAGATCGCCCCTGGCTGTCAGAGTCCAAGAAAGTGCAAAAACTTCAAGACAAGATTTACCTGGCTCTCCAGCATGAGATCCAGAAGCAAAACGCCAGCGAAGACAGACTTTCCAAGGTAAAAAGAGAAATAAAGAAAAACTTCTTCTAAAAAGTGGAAGGGCATCCTCCTTAGAGGAAAGAAACATCCCGATTCTGCTGGACGGGGTATCTGTATTTTCTGGAATACTGAACGAGTTGGATAGCTCAGTGTTTGAGGTCTATTGCCTGTGGAGCCAGAGGTTGGGAGTTCAAATCCTGCATGGGACCTCCTCGGAGAAGAGCCAGGCTGGGTGGCCTTCGGATCAAGCCACACACAATCCCAGAAGGAGGGAAAGGGGGAACCACACTTGAGCATTTTCTACCTAGGGAACCCTAGACTTATGGGTCGCTGTTAAGTCAGAACTGACTTGATGGCATACGATTATATTTTAGTAAAGGTATCCCTTGATCTTGCTTCTGGATTATTTAAGGGCCAAACGGTCTTTTCTCATTTTTCTCTCTGAACAATTAGTGATTAGTTCCCCAATGTGATTTCGAAGAGTTGCTTATGTCAACCGTTTGAACCAAAGTGGTCCCATTTCCAGAGGTCTATGTGTACAGTATCTCTCTCGGACTTTAGTTTAAGCATATGGTCTTTTAATAGCACTCACTATCTCACTATATCTTAATAACATGTGTGTATTTTTTTTCCCTCATCACTAAATCTGTGACATGGCGTTCCCTTGTGCCTAGTTATTTAAAAGCTTCCTGCTGTTTTCCCGCAGATCGTCTCTAAGCTTCCCTTAATGAAGTCCATCTGCAACCTCCACTTGGACAAGTTGGAATTTTTCCGCCTGGTCCACCCGGAGACGGCCAAGAACTTCCCGCCCCTTTACAAAGAGGTTTTCAACACCGAGCTCCATTACAGTAACCCCCGGGAGAGCTAAGCCAGCGCCCTTGGCGGCCCCCTCCCCCGGATTTTCCAGAACAGACTCAGTCTTGTGTGAAGGCGGTGGATGAGCAACGGAATGTGTGTGTGTCTGTGTGCGGGTGTCAAATATGGAGGGAAAAAGTCCCACCCACCCTTGGAGGTTTGTTTTAAAGTGTAAGACTTTCCCTCGCCCGGCTCGCCGACTGAATGTAAATGCACCTTTGGAGGATCAGCAGAGAGAGAGAGAAATAGACTTTTCCTATACCGGCAAGATGAATGTGAAATTCTGTTCGGTAGAAAAGAAAACTCCCACGAGTAAGCACCGTTGCATCTCTTTTTTGATTTGTCACTGGGGCATGTGCTTTTTTGCCTTCCCGCACCCATGATGTGTGGGCCTGGCATTTCACGGGACGTACCGTCATCGGACATCCGCACGCCACACGCTGTTTCTACTGGCCTTGTTTGGGACGTTTGTACAGTAGATTCTTGTCGCTGTCGTGTGCATGGTTTGCTTTGTTCCCTCCCACCCAGTGAGCACAACACAACGCTGGAGGCACAAAAGGCAAAGGAAAACCAGGAAGGGCCCGCGTCGTTCAACTTAAGGGGGGGGCGTTGTCTGAACCCAAGTCACAAAGCTCTGCCTGTCCAGCTAGCAGGCCAGGATGGAAGAGGAGTGAACTGTGGGTGGGAGGGAAACCTTTGGATTTTATTTTATTTTGTAATTAGCATTCTAAGTTATCTGGAGATCAAAGCTGGGGGGCAGGACCCTCCGATGGAGTGGGGCTAGAGAGCTGGTCCCTGACGCGAGATCGCCAACATGTTCCTGGTGAATAATGCTGCTAAATGGGGGTTGAGAAATGCATTCCTCCGGGGTTGAGGATGGTGGATCACATCTCCCATCATCCCTGGCTAGGCTGACTGTGGCTGATGCGCATGGGAGTCCAGCCATGTCTGGTAGAAGGGAGGGGAGGGGTCGAGGTCTCTACGGCCTTGCTCTGTACTGTGGGTTTCATGATCCCACGAGAACAGAGCGAAAGTCTGGCAGACGTCCTCACCATCCGCGTGAGGTCAGATCTTTGCTAGGCCAACCCAAAGGGGCAAGCTTTCAAAACCTTATCATACAGATTCTCATGTCATGTTACAGTGGCACAGACGTTTTGTACAGAGTTGGGGGGGGGCTTTTCATGGGTCTGTTTCCCCCCCCATCCCCGTGAGCTCCGGTCTCACTTCAAATGTTCTTCAAGCTTTCTGTGGGATCTCTGATTCGAGGTTTTCACAACATAGGGCCTATGGGATGCTGGTTTTGTAGGGAAGAGCAACACAGTGGTCCTACAAGTTACGGGGCTGTGGGTGAGGTGATTGAAATCCCCTGCCAGGTTTGTAGGAGAGAATAGTGGGATCCACCCACACCTCCCACACACAAGGTTGACTCTCCAATATTGTTGATTGAAATTAGACTCATCCGTTGTGTTTCTGTGTCACGATAAACCCTGGTTTACATGTTCATTGCTTCACCCACAGACTGCCTAGCAAATCACCAACAAAGCCATTTTTCTCTGGGGTCCCTGTTCATCATTTCTCTTTCAGGATGGGTGGCTCGAGGAACAAGCCAAAGTTCTGGGTTCTTAACATCATGGCAAGCCACGATTCTGACAAGCCATAATTCATTACAAAACAAACATGGCTTCTCATTGTTTGTTTGTTTGCCATAATGAGAAGCCATGTTTGTTTTGTAGGGAGGGATTGAGACTCAGTGAACAAAACAGGCTACGACAAACCGCAACTTGGTTTATGGTTCTGCGCAAACCATACCTTTACTCTTCGGACGAAAACCCGGAGTAAACTGATGACTTCTGCAGACGACTTCATCTGATTTCCCAGAGTGAGGGAGGAACTAGTCTCTGTTTATTTATGGTACCTGACAGGCGCCCACTCTCCTGTATCTGTACGCTGCACTTTAACCATCCGACATTTCCAGCGGATTTCAAATTTGTCCTAGCTTTAAAAAAAAAGAAAAAAGGAAGAAAAGCACCCATGAATTGCATTGGACAATCTCTCTTGACATACAAATAATAATAATTGTGTAAATATTGCAAAAGTAATATTTTGTTCTGCTTTGCTTAAAAGATACAGACTCTAAATTTTTGGATTTAAAAATGCTTGCATATAGTACATGGCCAGTAGCAGGGATGGGAAGGGTTTGCGGTTATTTGGACTACATATCCCATCTCTGGCTAGTATCATGGGTCCCTGTGTTAATTTATGTTGAAGGCAACTTCCTCTGATAAACTTATTTGTGCACTTTGGTGTTTTTTTGTTTTGTTTTTTTGCAATCAGAATCTCCCAGAGAGACGAATTTCTAAGAAATCGAATATACTGTACACTTTCATAACTTAAACTACTGTATTGACATAACATTTGCTGTTGAGTTATTCACACACTAGGGTTAAATGGAAATGTATTCCATGGAAATTGTATGTTTGCTGAGACATGCTGGGCAGGAAAAAAAAAGAGACACCCCACCCACTTTAATATTTGAACTGTGATAAAACATTATTCCTTCCAAGGTAAAAAAATCTTCAAAACGGTCACGTCTACATGATCTGTGTGTGAAGAACTCTTGTTGTTGATTAATCGCCAAATAAGAGAAAGCTAATCAGCAGCTTGTGGAGCTTTGAAACCTCGTCAAAGAAGAATCAGATGTTCTTTAGTTCCCAAGCCAGCTCAGCCTCTAACTGCAAAGCGATGGTTTACTCCAAAACACAGAGTCACAAAATACAGAGTAAAATAAAATAAAACAATGCATATGCTCACTCTACAGTAGCACATGCTCTCCTGTACACCATGAATGGAGAAAGCCGTGGCCAAAAATGAACCAGTGTTTAACAGCCAGCTTTTTGCAGACCATATCTGCCCTTGGGGTTTTCAAGAATCTGAGAGCTAGAAATTTGAATTTCTGAGCAATACAGTGGAAGGAAAAGAGGTTTTTCATATACATTCATCTATAAATGGAGCCTAGCACAGAAACTCTGCATTCTTACAGATTTGAGGTTTGTTTGTTTGTTTGTTTGTTTTTAGCAAACAAATTAAACCTAAGTTTCCAGTCCTTGGGGTTTCCAAAAATAGACTGGAAAATATTTTGGAATGAAAGATAGAAGAAAAGGGACCAGACATGTATCTTTCCAAGTGATACATCTTATCTCGTGGTGAGATTTTGTTTTTGTAAAAAACATGAAAACCAAACAGAGAAGGGTCATTTCCTCTCCCCCCCCCCACGTGATACATAGCTCAGTTATAAACATGGAAATATATATATATATATATCCTTTTTGTTTGAAATGGAAGTTTAGATGAGAATTTATCACCTCTAGAACCCTCGCACTGTGTATGAAAAGGAAAAAAAATTGGTTAATATATTTAATCTTGTGAATGTTGGCGGAAAAGAGAAGACACTAAAACAATCACAACCTGTTCCTTTTTCCTTACTTGTTTTGTTTTCTAATGCTTCATGTTTGAAAGAGAGAAGAAAAGATAATTGGAACTGTTTGATGAACACGCTACACACAAACACACACACTTGTTAAGGTATGGACAGGTGTTCTTGAAAAGAAACTTTAGATTTAGCATAAAGAACTGCTTCTGTTTGCATTGAATGTCTTGTTCTGTAAAACTGTAATTTCTATTTTTATAAAGAAATTGGGAAAAGGAAAAAAAAAAGAGGAAGTCCTTAAGTTTCCTTCCTAATAAAGGAGCGATTCTGCGTAGGAACCAGCAAGAAATATATAGGGCACTTGTTTATTTAAAGGGTAGTGGGTGGGGTGGGTTTTCGTCCCCCTCATTAAACTTCAAAATAATATAATGTATTTTAAAAAAAACAAAGCCAAGACTTCTGAATAAGATGTATTCTATGGAAAGGTAACTAATTGTATAATTGCACAGGAACTTTATGGGTCAAGCAAAATAAAGTGTTTTTGCCAAGTGGGAAAGGTTTCATGAGCGTCGGTGGTTTGTTCTTGTCCGCTTTAAAACACAACATCCTATATAATACGTGCACGTACATGTATAGGATGATCATTGTGTGACATCAGGTCAATGCTGAGTTATGGTGACTTTTTCCAGGGGTTTCCAGGTACAGAATACAGAAAGATCCCCCATATCCGCGCTTCTAAGCCCATTGCGGCGGATGCTGGAAAACGTGGATTGTAGCAAACGCTATTTTAATAGGAAATACTATACATAGCATGGTCTCTGGCTCCCTCTAGTGGTCATTTCTGGTAACTCCATAGTTATAAATATATATTTCTAGGAGGTTACTTTTAATATTTTCAAACCATGGATAAGTGAATCAGCTGATACTGGTCCTGCAGATGGAGGGGGTTTTTCCTACTGTACTTCAGAAGTTGTTTTGCATTCTTTTCTTATGGGGGGGAATCCCTGGGGGGCTGCACACTTGCCTAAGGGCATACAGGCTACCTTTACTTGTAGGAGGCACAGTGGGGGGATTCGAACTCCCAACCTCTTCCCTCGCAGCTAGATACCTCCACCCCGAGCTATCCAGCCAATGACATATATATTAATGTTACAGAGTTTTGTGTAGATGCGGGTGCCAGGGTTCGGGGGGGTCAGCAGAATTTCTGCAAAGCAAAAATTTAAAAAAGAAAGAAAAATCACTCTCTTCCAATTTAGGGGCAAAATGCGCTCTCTCTCTCTCTCTCTCTCTCTCTCTCTCTCTCTCTCTTTTTTTTTTTNAAGGTGGTAAATGCACTTCTTTTATGGGACACTCTCATCCAGTGGAAATTCTTGCAAAACAATTTCAGCAATTGTGGTGGTGGGGAGTTTATTCTGAGACTCCCAGATCTGGGATGCCTAGGGTCAGCCACCTACGGCCCAGTCGCCCTGGCCTGCCTGTCCCTTGTGATATCCACAATAGGTGAGGCAGGCAGGGATTTGGAACAGGGTGGCCAGCTGATTGTGCACAATAAGTCATCATCATCATAAAAATATCAAATCAGATATTCCCAGTATTTGCCCAAATAACTGGGATAGTCCAGGAGGTGCAGAAAAAGAAGGAAGGAAGGCAGCTTTCCTCATTTCTGCAAAAAAATAAGCAAAGGGAAAAATAAAATAAAAGCCCAAATAGTAAAAGGAGGATTTTAAATTTAAACCCGGAATTCATCGCCTTGCGGTGCTCTTCTTTCAGCCAGTCTAGGTTCGCCTTACCCCCCCCTCCACCTGCGTGTCCCTTGGCCAACCAGCCCACTTCCACATGACGCCCCTGGCGGGAGGGCACGCCCTCTCCGGCGCAAAGGGCGCCGGGAGCCGTAGTCCCATTTCCCATTGCGCTGTATAGACGGAGCCTCCCACGGAACTACGACTCCCAGGATGGACGGGGGCGGTTGTTTTTTAAAATAAAGAAAACTATTAAAGACCAGAAGGCAGAGGTCGGAGGCGTCGTTGTAGGCAAAAGTCTTTCTGGAGGTGGGACGAAAATTTCCCTCGTTTTCAGGCTTTTTTTTGGGGGGGGAAAAGGAACAGGACGTCTCTGATTGGCTGGCCTCTACGGGCGGGGCTTGCACAAGCAGCCCGTGCAAAGGGGTGGGGCTTTGCACACTCAGCGCGTGTGCAAAAGGGAAAAAAAAGAAAGGAGGCAGCGGGTAGGAAGCAGGCAGAGCCAAGCTAAGCCCAGGTGGGTGTTTTGCAAAATTGGCCACATTTAATTGAAATTCTTAATGATGTTTTGCTCCTCCGGAAGGAGCAGCGGTTGCAATTTGTTTGACATTTTGTTGCAACGGCCTCGTGGCGTTTGCTGAAGGATGGTAACATTTAATTGCCATTTCCCTTCCTCCCTTCTCACCTTCCTTCTTAAGGGCTGCAGAGAAAAGGAGCGTCCAGATTGTCAAGGGAAAGAGTCGGGGAGCGGGGGGGAGGGAGGAATTAACTGAGCGGCAGATATATTTAATTTGATTGCTTTTTTAACTCTTGGAAAGTGGCGAAGTTCCGGTAAGGGCTAAAATTGCTTTGCGACCCCTGCAATCCTGCCGGTTTCATTTTGGAAAGCGGTTTTTAACTTTTAAAAAAAGGCTTTTTAAATAAAAAGATTAGCAAGAAGGAAGGGTGCTGGATCTTCAGGGCAGGTAAAATTAGATAGATAGATAGATAGATAGATAGATAGATTGATTGATTGATAGATAGATAGATAGATAGATAGATAGATAGATTGATTGATTGATTGATTGATTGATTGATTGATTGATTGATTGATTGATCGATTGATTTTGTAAAATAAAACCCATGGCCCTGAATTTCAGCCTCACAAGTAGTGTACAGATAGATAGAAAATAAAAGATAGACAGACAGACAGTTAAGGGTGCTGGAGATGGCTCCAATTTTAAAAGGGTATGTAATATATACACACCACCCTTGTTTAAATTGTGAATTTCCACTGGATGAGAGTGTCTTATAAAATTCTAAATATATATACAGTATATGTGTGTGTGTAATGTATGTGGAGAGAGTGTGTATTTGAATCTTCTGTGGGTTGGAGGTGATAAGGGACCCGAAGGGTTTTTTGCTTGTCTTGGAACTCTGCCTTTCCAGTCTCTTCTTGTGAGTTTTTCCACCCAAAGCCGAGACCCGGTTTCCGGGCCCTGAACTCCAAGGGCGTGGGTCTCAACAGGAGGAGACTCGCTCCACCCAACGGGATCCAGGAAAGGGGTGCTGTGATGCCAAGGGTGTTTGCTTAATTCGGGCCAAGAACAGGATTTATTTAGGCCACTTTTCAAAAAATAATTGCTGAAAAAGAGAGAGATTGAAACCCAATGAGAGGCTTCTGGCCCTCGGAGGGTACAATTTTGGTTTCTGCTTTTCTTTTTCAAACCGAGGGTTTCAGCTTGGAAGTGTTTCTTGCCTGGGACTACAAGTCCCATGTTCCCCCAATTTCCCCCATAGATGGATTGGTTATGGCCATGTCTCGCCTCCCCCTGCCCAAGACGCTAGAGGGGGCTGTGTGTTGTCTTGCAGATTCCTCCCACGCACAATGGCCCTGCCGAGTAGACCATAAACACCAGGGGGTTGGGGGTAAAACAGATGCCTGGTCCACGGTGGCCAGATGGGTTTTGTGCCTCAGCATGGATTCAGACTTCCGTCTCCCCGAAGCCCCCGTTGATCTCAAGGCGCTGATTTACAAGGAGCTTGTAATCATTAAAAGACTCTCTCTAAAAAGCAAGGTCTCGTAGCAGAATATATAAATATATGTATATTAGTTTCAGTTACATGCACTTGCTTTCAGTTATAGCAGACTAAAAGACACTCGGCTCTTTGTGTTATCTTGCTCTTTTTTTAATAAAAGGAGGGGGGAAAACACAAAATGATCTTCGGAAATCCACACAAGGGGTTGTTTGTCCATCTCCTGAGGCTGTGGGGGGGACGGACGCTGCGGTTGCAGCTGCTTTCTGGGGAGGAACGCCGTAAACGAAGGGCGCATGACACCACTTTATGTTAGTAGACTTCATGACAAATCGGGGGGGGCACAGTTTTTCACCCCCCAACCAGGAAGGCTGGGTGGTAAAAAAATGCAATAAAGGGTTTTGAAAAAAATAATTGGTATTTAGGGGGCCTTAAGGATTTTTTTGTGTGTATGTGGGGGGAGAGTCAGTCTCTGCTCTCCCACCCATCTAGAAAGACTATAGAATTTCAATTATTGATTTAAAAAAAAAGATTGGGGGGGCATTCATTCTCCCCTTTTGCTGTCATTCTTCTTTCTCCCTCAGTTTCCTCTCCTTTTTTCTCCACACCTGTTTTGGCCCAGCAGTGGCCAGCGGCTGATCCGGTGCCAAAAGGCTGCGGTGAACGGACAGACCCGGCGGACTCCATGGCTTGAATCCCGCCGTCCACTTGAAACCCCAGCCCAGGGGGAAGAGGAACCCTGACTCTGTTATCGTCCCTGAGAAATCTCTCTTTCCCTTCTCTCGTAGGCGCAGGTCTGCGTGATTCGGATTCCCCCGGAAGGATACTCGGAGAAGGAATGGCAGGTAACCCTGACTCTAGTTCTCTGTCCCCCACGGCGGAAATCTCAGCTTTCCCACCCTTACAAAAGTTGCCCCAAATGTCACCAGTTTTATATAATAATTTCTGGATTTCAGGGCCCCGTCTCCTACCAGATTTTCTGTTTTTACCCTGTCGTCACAGTTTGTACAAAGTTGGCAGGAATTTATCCAAGCTGCTGATTTTCTCTCCGTTGATCACCTTCCTTTCACCTTCCTGCCTCTTGCGTGATGATGCCCGAACGAACTCTGTGCTCGTTTTAAGAAGGGTTGGCTTGTGCTTCGACGCTTTCACTCCCGACATGGTGACCCTTTAAAGCTGAGGTTCAGAAGCCGGGGGGTGGGGAACGATGCTGGCAAGCTTTTCTCTCCCCCCCCCCGCAGAAGCCTCAGAAAAGTAGAGGTTTTTTTTAAAAAAAAAATTAAAGCAATTTTTGTGTCATCAGATTCGCCTTTAAAAGCAAATTTTAGAACATGGGGTTTTTTGTGTGTTGCATGCCAGAGGAGTGCCAAAATTCCTGATTATAATGCCAGCGTTTGTTCTTCACCACACTTTCGTGTAATCTCTTCTGGATGCTCCTCTTGTAGAAAAAGTGAATAATTTCCCTCCGTTGCCAAAGTTTATCCCACTGAAGCCGTGCTTCTATCAGGACTTTGCCGACGAGATCCCCATCGAGCATCAGACGCTGGTGAGGAGAATCTACCATTTGTGGCTATGTAAGTTCGGGTTGCCCTCAAAATGATGCTTTATTGGGGGGGGGGGAGAAAGTTCTAGCCTTCTTTTCTTTTTAAACATTTTTGAAACGTCCCTTGACTCTCCTCCAAGCAGGCTGGAAAAAAGAAAATGCTTTTTAATCGGGGTTTTTTTTTCCTGGGAAATCCAGAGTACTATGGTTTTTTTTTAAGGTTTTGTGTCCATAGTAGGACTGTGGGAGATCTTCTGTTTTTGAACCTGGGAACTTCCACGGATGTCCTGCATCGCCTCCAAATGGGTCTAACTGCACAGCCACCACACTGTGCTGCTTCTGGGCATCATGGCTGGTGGAAAAATTATTTTTTTTAAAAAAAATGCTGATCAGTTATGCCATCGTAGACAAAAAAAGAGAGATCCTGGTGGCAAAATACTCCTGGCTATTTTTTTTCTGTCTGCGAAAACCCTTCAAATCTGTTTACAGCGAGTGGCGAATATTTGGTGATGTTCGCCCTTCTTTAAGAAAGTTCGATGTAAAATTGCCTATCTTATGGGTCTCCTGAGGTGCGGAACCTTGTGACACCATGTAGCTCCAGGGTAGTAGAATTCCAGCTTGTCTGGATGAGGTTTCAAACTGAGATGTACGCCTTGGGTGCGGGGATTTTGCCTTGGAAAACACTTGGCTTTTATTTTAAATGATAAGCGGCTAGTCCTTATGGACTATGGTGGTAGTTTCCTAAAAGCACATTTTTAAAAATCAGGCTTAAAGGAAACAATTTTCTAAAATGTGGTGGGGAGGTTATTTACTTTCTTTATTTAAAAGGAAAGGCATGTTTCTTAGAGGTGGGATTCTCTTGTTTTTTGTGTGTTTTTTTTTTAGGGGAACGGAATAAAGAAATATTCCCCCCCTCCCAATTTTGTGAGCCACATAAACGGCTCTGGCAAGCTCCCGTCCCTATTTTAACTTCCTGCCTTCTTGCCATAGTTTACTGCATCACCTTGGGTGTAAATCTTATCGCTTGCTTGGCCTGGTGGATCGGCAGCGATTCTGGGGTCAATTTCGGCTTGGCCATCTTATGGCTCGTCCTTTTCAGCCCTTGCGGATACGTCTGCTGGTTCCGGCCCATTTACAAAGCCTTCAGGTAGAGTGCACTTTATCTGTGCGTGTCTTTAACTGAAATACCATTCGAGGGCAGGGGCAGGAGCGTTCTGGATCGTGATAAGGTGACTGCTTGGTGTCATATGAAAGCTGGATAATCATTTTTTTTAAATAGCACAACTCTTTACTGTTGTTTCTTCTAAAAGAAAACATTCCAAATTCTTTGCAAGTGAAAATCTAGCAGTTCAAGGAGGAAAGTTCTAGTTGAATTTCCAACCCTGATGTGGTAGGTGTCTAACATGCAGGGACTGTTCAAAAAGGGTGTTTCCTTTTTTTTCTCTCCCTGTCTAAAACGGGACAGGCGGCGTGGCTGCCTCGTTCTGCTTCCATGGGTAGAGGACAGATAATTCAGAGCTGATCTCTTAACCTTCTTATTCCTCAGTAGAGGAATAAGACCCCAATTAAGCCACAGTTCAAAGCGAGGAAGAATCAAAGATTAAGGGAACGACGTCCTTATATGCTTCTGTGGTTTTTAAAGGGTCGTCTCAAGTTAGCATCAGAGTGCAAAGAACAACGGGGGTGGGCTGGATCCGGCCCCTCTGTAGCAAACATAAGCCCCAGCAGCCTTCAGCAGCCTTGATCCTAATGGGTCACATAATATTCTGCAGGAGTAGAATAGAGGGATAATAAGGGTAGGAGAGGGATATGGGGTAAGCGCCAAGACTCCCTTGGCCACCAGCCGTAAAATGGCATCTGCTAATGGTGATATATGGATGCATACTCAGAAATGCTTCTAAGAATGGGCCCCCGAAGCAGCCGGACCCTTCCTTCCCACTACCAGTGGGGAAGATAACTGCTGTTGATCTTCCTGTTTTGGGGTCTGCTTGTTCTGGATGTTGGGTAGCTCCAGAACCCATGATCCCCTCTTCCTTCCGGTTTGTGACCTCCTGCCATCAAAGGTGGACCGGGCAGCTCTTCGAATAGGAAACTTCCCTGTTTGAAAGAGGTTACTGGACTGTCAAGATTTCTCTCGGCCTCTGATTTTTTTTGGGGGGGGGGGGTTCTTAATTTTTGACTAAGCTTCCCCACCCCACCGGCCCCGTTCCCTGCCCAGCGTACTCGACGGCAATGACTTCCAAGGAGCTGTTTTCCTCGTTAATCCACCCCGCGGGGAGAGCCGGATTACAGTCGGCTCATCCTCATCTTTCTTTTTTAATAGCTGGAGGAGGGCACCTCTTGTGACGACAGGGAGTCAAAGGGGGGGGAGAAGGGGGGGTTAGAGATCTACACTACAGTTACCATAACCCTTCATGCTAGCTGGGGTGGATCTAGGCCTCCGGGAGCTAGAGAGGAGCCCAACGTTTGCCCCCGTGGGCTGTGAAACCAGAGGCACCCCTCGGGGAAGGTCCCGGATTGGCAAATCATCCCTGTTTTGGATCAATGCTAATTTTCCAAAGGGTGGGTTCAGTGTCTCCGTCTCCTCCCTACAGGTCCGACAGTTCTTTCAACTTCATGGCCTTCTTCTTCGTCTTCTCCGCCCAGTTCGTCCTGGCGGTCATCCAAGCGATCGGCATCAGCGGGTGGGGAGCATGGTAAGCGGAGTAGCCCCAGTCCCCAGCGGAGGCTGGGCGGCGGCGGCAAATCTGCTCCGATTTTTTACTCCGAACTTTACATTGCTTTCTTCTGTCCCATTCTTCCTTCCCCCTCCACCCCCCCCCACACACGGTGCAGCGGCTGGCTGGCTGCGGTGATGTTCTTCAGCACCAGCATTGGGGCGGCCGTGATCATGCTGTTCCCCGCCATCATGTTCACCTTGTCGGCCCTTGCGATGTTTGTCTGTCTGCTTCGGGTAAGTGATGCTTTTCAGCTCCTGCGAAAGCCCAGGGTTGTGATGATGAGAAGCACAGAGACACTTTTTCCAGGTCCTCCGAAGGGGATCCTCCACTTCCCTTCTTCTGGAATGGTGTGCGGCTTTTGCTCAAGGCTGCCACTGGCTGGCTCGTCTCTTGGGAGACACAGTGAGGATTCGAACTCCCAACCTCTTGACTTTGCCACCCGAGACCGAAACCACTGAGAACTCCCGTCCACTTGGGCTCTAAAATCGCCCATATTCCCCAAAATTGAGTTAGGGTTCAAGGCCAGGAAGGGAGAAATTCCGTTATCCGGCAGGAACTGATTTTTTTTCGGTCTCGGGGAGGATGGTGGACGAAATCCGTTGACTGTCTCTGCTTCCGCCTCCTTTGATCCCGATCCAGGTGCACCGGCTCTACCGTGGCGGTGGCGGCAGCTTCCAGAAAGCCCAGGATGAGTGGCAGAGTGGCGCTTGGAGGAACCCTCCGACCCGGGAGGCCCAGTTCAACAGTTTCTCCGGGAACACCCTCCCGGAATACCCGACGGTGCCGAATTATCCGGGCGGAGGCCGGTGGCCCTGATCCTGCCCGGTCAAACAGGCTGCCCCGGAACGTTTGTCGGAGCAGTCGTCGGGGGGAAAAAAAAGGAGAAGAAAAGGAGGGATAAAATTGCTCTTTTTTGGGGGGGGGGTGGAGTGGGAGGAACGATCTGCCTCTTTTTTTCTAAGCCTCCCATCACGGTCCCCGTCCTCCTCTCTGTTGGCCAGATAGTATTTGATCCTTTCTGATTGCAGAAAACCCAGGATTCGTCCCCCTTTTTGTAGGGCCCGCTGGAAATAACAGGGTCGCGGCTGCTGGCTGTGTTTCTCTCATTCGGCCTCGAGGGCTCTGCTGTCTTTATTTATGGCCTCTTCTCTTTTTTCCTCTCCAACTTCTGTCCGAAAGATCTCCGGTAGATTTTCTCAAGCCGCGGTTTACTGCCATGTTTTTCTCCACGGGGTTTGGGAGGAGCCACCCAAATGATCTCAAATCTTCACGTCCTGGCCACTCCCCCCCCCACTTTCTTGTTTTGTTTGCTTGCTTGGCCACCTTTTCTTTTAATCTCGGGAAGAAGGAATGGCATCATTGGTGCACACCGCCGATCCCGGCTCGTGTTCTCACCGTCATTCCTCCTGGCCACTTTAGATGGCACTTTGGATCTGGCAACACGTGCCGGCCTCTATATTGAGCTTTCTGTCAAGTAGAAAACTAGTTGTGCAGGACGGAGGGCTCTACGCTGGCCTCTTGAGACGCTGGCTTTCTACATGCAAGAACTGGTTGCGGAGTGAAAGATTCCAACATGATGTCTCCGGAAAATGGGTTTTCTGTTCTGGAAATCTTCCGGCCTTTCTTTCAGGCATGCATTTGGGTGGCTCTCTTGCTTTCTAGTAATTTCCTTGCTGAAATAGAAACTTGAGCCCATATCAGTTAAGAGCCAAACATCTCTGCTCCATTTGTGCCTGTCTGTCTGGGGGTGGGGGGTTGGGAAAACTTTGGAGCAATATAGGAAATGGGGTGAGAGTCTGCAGTTTTAGGACCACAAAGCTTCTGGTGTGGGTCAGGATTAGGCCTCATTCATTGCCTTCCTCGGGGGGGGGGCTTTTTCCAGCTTCCCCCCTGGCTTTTCTTGATTTTGCCTTTCATTTTCCATGGCGCCTCTCGATGGATAGGGAGAAACTGGGAATGTTTTTCTCCTTCCTTTCTTTAGATCCTCTCCGTGTGTGTAGGGGCCAGGGCCCCTTTTCCACGGAAATCATCCTCTTTTATTATTTTGTTTGGTCCAGAAACAGGGACCTCACTTTGTTCTGTCCTACCATTGCTTGGCGCCCTGCCTTGATCACGGGGCTCCCCCAAAGTTGAGCTCTAAATCTCTTTTGGGAGATTTTGTTCCCGGGAAGCCTTCTTTTTTTTACAGGTTTCTTGGCCCCCGACTTGGAAGAAAAATTAAAACGTGGCTGGCTTAGGGGAGATGAACATTGTATCTAGCAACAAGCCTCATGTGTATCTGTGCCTTACTGGATTGTACGTCCACCATTGTATTTGATTCCGTATAGTTCCTTCCCCCTCCTGTATTCAGTTTCCTTGGTATTTTTCAAGTATTCACTTTGAGGCAGATCGTTTGTGAATACCCCATGTGCCATGGCTCTCTTCGTTCGGGAGAGTGGGGCGTTTTATGCACTATGCTGGCGGATAAGCCAAATCTTTTTTTGGGGGGGAGGGGGACACCTTGTAAACAAGAACTGAAAAATTATTATTTTTATCTTTTTGGAATAGTTTTAAGGTGGGGGAGTTAAATAGCTTCTCTCTCTCTGTGTGTGTCATATCTTAACCCTAACTCCATTTACAGAAATCTTGGCCTATTTACAGGTTTCTTGAGATGCTTTTTCTCCCTCTTGACACATTCCAAATATACCACAATGGTGGTTTAAAAAAAAAGACACGCAATCTGTGAAGTTTATTTATTTCCTGGCTTGCTTTCGTGGGGAGAAGGGCCGTTTCCAAACCGACTCTTATGTCGGGTCACGACACACTTTGGCACTGGTGCTTTGCTTTAACTCTTTATATATATATATATAAAACTTTTAAAAATGAAAAGCCACAGAGAGGCTTTCTGACACACACAAACACACACACACACACACCCTGTAATTACAGGGAAATGCTTTCGATCGAGATGGAGCAAATAGCATCTCCTGCGGCCTCCTGGTTGGGAACTAAGCTGCCATCTTCAAACCCTGGGCCGCTGCTGGTTTTATCTATCGGTGGCAACTCTTTATGTGCCAGGAAAGGATTTTCCTGGGAAGTGGGGAACAAGAGGAAGGTACTCCCCTCAACTTCCTCAGCCCACCCCACCCCACCTCACCCCTTAGATAGCGCTATACGTATTCATTTCCTGGGGAAATGAATATAGCCCATTTTTGGCCCCAGGAGAGAACAAATCTTGTGACATTTAACAGGCGTTCGTTCGCCCTTCGAGGGGAAACATCTGCCGACGGACGACATTCAAATTTCAAGCCGCCTCTGAGGTTTTTCGTTCTCCCAGAGGTGGGGGTGGGGGAGACCCTCCCCTGTAGAAACACCTCTAGGCTTTTTTTCAAGCCCACCCTGTTGAATTGCTTGAAAATAAGGTCTGGATACGGGTTAAGTCAAGAGCGGAGAACCATTTGGCCCTCTGAGCTCTGACTTCCATCCTCCCCAACCAGCGACCGTAGTGGCGCTGGGGCAGATGGGCTCTGAAGTCCAAAACATCCGAGGGCCTCTGCTCTCTCTACCCTGGACAAAAAAAAAAAGAGGATCACTACAAACACTAAATAGACCCAATTCATGCAGGAATGAGAGTCTGTAGGCGAAACCCCTGAAAGCCAGGTTAAAATTATTATTATTATTATTTATTATTAATTATTATTATTATTTATTTAATTTATATGCCGCCCACTCTACCCAAAGGTCCCTGGGCGGCTCACAACAATTAAAATACAATGCAATAAAATAAAATGATTAAAATACAGTTAAAATACAATTAAAATACAATTAAAAATACAATTAAAATTGCCATCATTAAGACCCACAGTTAATGTTATTTCAATTAAAAGCCTTCTGGAACAGGAAGGTTTTGACCTGGCGTCGAAATATCATCAGTGTCGGCGCCAGGCGAATTTCAGTTGGGAGGGCGTTCCATAGTCTGGGGGCAGCTGCCGAGAAGGCCCTTTGTCTACAAGCCATCCCTCTTACCTCCTTGAGGGATGGCTCTTTCAAAAGGGCCCCCTTTTGAAACAAGCTTGGTAGACTTTTTTTGGGTGGGAAATTCTATGCCTTGCATTTATTTCTATGCCATGGTTTTACCTGCTCCCGAAACTAGCTTTCCCCCCACAAATCCTGTTCCAAACTCTTTCCGGGTAAAATGGTGATGCCAACAGCCTTCATCTCAAAACAACTGGACTGTGTTTTTGATTGTTTTTTTTTAACTGTAGTCTTAACGTAACAAACCAATGTCTCTCCCTCATAGGTTTGTCATGCCATGTTTACATGCTTGATCCTCATTTTTACAGGGGGGTGGAGATCTTTAACTCTGCTTGGCCCATTTCATACCTGGCATCATGTTGTGGGTGTTTTTTTTTTAATTTGGCACTGTATCGAGATCTCTCGCATTGTGTGTTTAAAAATAAATCCAATTTGCGTACTTAACCGCCTGGATCTGTGGGTGTGTTTGTGGCTGGGGATGGCAAGGGTATACCATTTGGTTCTAGCTTTTTGCCACTCTGCAGGTTTGGCGGGGGGGGTGTTATAGAGGCCTTTCCAATGATCTCTACTGGAAACAACCCTGTGGTGTAGGCCAGTCTGAGAGAAAAAGGGGTCCCTCAGTCCATTTCACAGCTATTTTGAGCCTTTGAACCCGGGTCTCCCAATTCAAGGCCTGGCTCTAGCCACATGGACTGACCAGGAGGGTTGGGTGGATGGTATTTTCTGTATCGGAGACCAAGTCCCTTGCAGGAAATATCTATTGCTATGGGAGGATTTGTTTTATTTACAAATATTTATACACTGCTTGCTTCTGAAACTTCCCAGATGTCATCGGAAACCATAAATCAGTCTTAATGTGATTAGGATGTGATTTTATCCATTTTGAATGCTAGTTTTAAAGGCAGGGACTATATTTTATTTAATAAGTTAAATCCCATTTTTTCTTCTTCAGTGTCCCAGCCTAAAATGTTTGCATGGGCCATCTTCTGATGGAATCATCTTGAAAATCAACAATTATTACCCGATCCTTGAAAATAATACAGGGGAAGCTCTGGGTGCCCCTCCAGACACAAACGGCTGGTTAAGATTTTAGCTCCTCAGCTATGCCGGGCAGCTGTCTGCTGCGATCCAGGAATAGCCGGGTGAATTGGGAATTGATGTTGTTGTTTTTCCATTTTGTTGAACCGACAGCTGTTTTCAGATCACTGGGCCTTGAAACCACTTCTATGCCCCAAGCAGAGAGAGACCCACTGAATCTAGGGGGCTTAACCCACGTGATGAATTAACCAAAATCTTATCGATTCAGTGCGCCTAATTCTAGTTTGGGATTAAAGGATTAGATTTAGGCCATGGGGCTTAATGTGTGCCTACGGTCTCCTGCTGCTGAATCCTCATGACAACCCTGCAAAGTATGCTAGTCGAAGCGGGCGGGGGGGACAGGATTGAACCAAGGTTGTGTGTTGGACTGTGGATCCCATTATCCCCAGCCAGCCAGGGGATTGATAGTTGTAGTCAGTTCAGCACATCTGGAGGGTGGGAGGTGGGAAAAGCCTACTCTAACTGCTGCACCAGCCTTGGCTACTGACAGAAGCCCCGGGTTCTTGCCTGGAGGGCATATTCGTATAAAGTCCAGTTTGGAAAAATGGGAGAATTTGAATAAATTGACTGTGTTTTCTCTTACATTTGGAACATAATTCCTGATGAAGAGACTTGTGATTCTGAAAGATTGCACCTTTTTTGCACATATTTTTCCTGCATGTCAGGTTGGACTAACAAATAGAATCTCCCACGAAGTTGGTTTTTCTTTTTAATTTATTTCTATAATGTGATAGAAATAAGAAAACAAAGTGAGGGTTCATACGGAAATATGTCCTCTATAGAGATTATACTATAATGCTAAGTTTTGAGGAATTTGACTAACTGGGGTCTTTTTGGTGAAAAATTGATTGATTTTCCTATTGTGTTCCTAAATAGCAGTGGAACTCCCTGCCACAAGACTGTGGAACATGGCCCCATCCTAGAAATGGGTTTCAAGAAGAAGAATTGGAGAGAAAGTGGGCAAAAGTTGGCATTAATGGTTGCAAAGGAAGATGGAGCCTCTATGGACAGTGGCAGGCTACCTCCAAGCACTGGATGGTAGAAGTGAAACAGGAAGGGGAGGCTTGTTTTTAATGAGCTTCACGGGAACAATCTGCACGGAAACCATCTTTATTTTCTTCCATTGGAAAATGTAACTTCCAGTAAACTGATGGTTTTTCTCCCCTTCTGGAACTCATTAAGACGCCCTTCTCGTGGGAGAATTCAAAAGCCACCGGGGAAGGAAAGGGTTAAAGGACTTGCCGTAAGTCGCGACGCTGTCGCAAGTCCTCCCCTTGCCGTCGCAAAAGCAGCTTTCCCGCCAAGCTCCTCCCACCTTGCGGCTGCCCGGATTCTCACGCGCGCTTTACGTCCTCCCGCCCTCCTTGTCCCAAAGAGGAAAGGTAGATGGAGCCGACGTCAGCTTGCAAGGCATGAAGACTTCCGGCTCCCAATAGACGCCTCCGTAGAAGGTATGCACTTTTATTAAGAATAAAGGCAAAACTTTCCAATAAAAGAGAGAGAAGAAAGCACGACTTATAAAAGTTCCTTTTTTCGTCCTACAGAATTTTGGCGCTCTCAGAATTAAAAAAAATTAAAATCAAGTTTAACGGGGCCTTTCCAGCAGATTGAAAAACAGAACTTTTAGAAACAGATTTTTAAAAACCAAATGAGAAAAAAAATTGATGGCAAAGAAAGGTTTAAAAAGTTGTTTAAAAATGGCAGCCTTTCGTTCATGTTCCCTTCCTACTTTTATGTCGCCACCTTCGACGGACCACCGGCGGTGTAGCCGAAAGAACCATCGCGTCTTTACCTCTTTGTTCTCCGCCCACGCCCGGCCTCCCCATCCTCCTCCTGGCGCCTGCGCATGCGTCCCAAATCCCATACGGGCGGGCTCCCCCCGCGGCCAACCAGACCGAGCGAAGCGGGCGAGAGGCGCCTT